CTCAGGGCCCTGGCAGTCTCAATAGAGCCATGTTTTCCAAGTGCTGCTTTGAAGTCTTGACCAGCAGCTGCAGAGCAAGTCCTTGGGATGTGAGCGCCTTCCCATCCTGTCATCCTCACATGTCACCCTGGGAGAGTGGGTTGAGAGAGCCCAGCAACTCCAGGAAATCAGTTCAGTGCTCTGGACCAACATGACTGTTCCTTCAGTGGCAGAGTTCAGGTATTCCCTTCCTTTGGGGCGGTGGCTAGTTCTTTGGTGGGTGAAGGCAAGGCTGAATCAGTAGGTTTTCAGCTCATGATAGTCTTTACTAAGAGCTGGCCAGTTCCTTTGTCAATTTCAGCATATTATCATCAAGAGAATGGTGGTTGGAATACCATATAAGTTTGTATGAGACTAGAAGCTTACTCTCAAATATTGTAGAATAGACTGCCTTGTCATTTTCTGAAGAAAGAGTTCTGTTTGATGTGTACAAGCCCTGTTTACTCATCATCCCAACAGACGCACTGATTCCCAGCTCCAGGGGCTCTTGCTGTGCCGACACCTGGTGGGCTTAGCAGACCTGCTTCCTGAGCCCCGGCAGCAGGAGTACATGCAGAACTGTGAGCGGCTGCTGCTTGGGGACAGCCACGCCTTCCAGCATGTGGGCCAGACTCTTGGGGATATGGCTGAGCAGGAGGCTCTGCCAAAGAACTGCTGTGCCTCTTGCTCACGTCCCTGCGCCACTTATTTGGGGAAGGAGAGAGTAAGCAGGACCTGCCTGAGCCAGCCCGGCGTGGGAGCCTTTGGGTGAGCCTTGGCTTGCTCCAGATTCAGACCTGGCTTCCCCAGGCACGCTTCGACCCTGCAGTGAAGAAGGAATATAAGCTCAAGTACGCCAAGGAAGAGGTATGGGGAGGCAAGAGTTTGGAGTGTGAGTTCCATCCCTGGCTGGCAGGCTTTACTGGGTATACTACTCCTATTATCCCCTTGGATGCTCAGAATTCCTCTGAGTAGTCTTTGACACTGGGAGGATCCCTTTCTAGGGTTCTGATCTATCTGCCAATAGAGTGCAGTGGGCAGAGGGCTTGACACTTGTATACCTGTGACACTGCCAGAGAAAAGTGGTGTCTCTCATTAGTCAGACTCCTACCTGTAAAGTAACTGCTTTAGATAGTGTATATAGCATTACTTCAATTTTAAATAATTGGTGTTTATTATCTAAACTCAAGAATCACACATACTGTGATAATATGGTATCCTTTTCTGTTTGAACTCCCAACCAAGTGCAGAAACTGAATACATATACTAGAACTGAATTTCAAAGAAGGAAAATTATGTTAGTTGGGGTGACGAGTTAAAGCTGCTATGGCAAAACCTCTGAAGTTAAGTGACATAAATAGTTTCTTTCATCTAATAGCGCTAATGTGAGTGATCGTGAACAACGGAGCAGATTCCCTAAGGGAATCTAAGGGACATTCAGGAACTCAGGTTCATTCTGTCCAGCTGCTCTACCCTCCTTTAGGGCATTATCTTCTCGGGCATGGTCCTAGGTGAGCATGGCAGGCTATTTTCTTTTCTTTCTGTTAGCTGCATCAGCTGCAGTGTGAGTGGAAGACCAGAAACCTTTCATCCCAGCTACAGACTGGAAGAGACCTGGAAGATGAAGTTGTTATCAATTACTCTCATCCTCATGTCAGGTAATTACATAAGTGTGGTTATTCATGTTGGGGGCTATTGACCCTCTTTTTAAAAAAGACATTTTAAGGGTGATCTTTACAATGTAATTAGCATTAGCGGAGTGATGATATATATCTCTGAACTACATTAGCAATTGGATACAAAGCCATGGTTATAATCAGGTGAAACTTTCATGAGGCCAAGAAAGTTTACATGAGAACTTATTCTCATGGAAGGAAGTGGGGGTGATGATATTCCCTGTGTAGGTCCATGGCTTTAGGAAATGCCATGCGGTGTAGTGGATTCTGAGTTCCAGTCCTGTCCCTGACCTTTGTATTAGACTTTGGATAGAGGCCTTAATGCTTCTAAGCCTTGGTGTTCATGTCTGTAAAAAGAGGCTAGAGTACCTACTTCAGAGTTGTAAGGAGACTTTTTATGAGACGTACGTCTAAAGTGTTAAATGACATGTGTTGCACATGATAAACACTCTTACCTGTTTTTGTTATAATTTTCATTATTTTCAGCACATTATTCCTCAGTAGCTAAAATGTCTTCATTAGTCTGGATTTACTGCTCTTCTTTTGACAGAATTTGTCTATGTGTTAATTTGACTCTAGGTTACTTAGCCAGAGAATTGATCAGCTGGGGAATTTAATCAACAACCTGGCAAAGAAGCAGGCCTTCAGACCCCAGCTTCCTGTATTCGAGTCCCTGGTACAGGAAATCCACCACTACATTACCAGCATTGCCAAGACCCCTGCTGTTCAGGATCTGCTCACACGGCTCCTACAGGCCCTCCATGTCGATGGGCCTCGGTCGGCCCAGGTGGCCCAGAACCTTCTGAAAGAAGAGGCCTCTTGGCAGCAGTCACACCACCAATTCAGGAAGCGACTGGCAGAGGAGTATGCCTTGTATCCAGACTCTGTGGCCCCACTGCAGGCATCCATCTTGCAGCTGCAGCATGGCATGCGGCTGGTTGCCTCTGAGGTCCATGCCTCACTGCACAGTACCATGGTCTCTGCAGATAGGCTGGGTACCCTGGCCACATCCTTGTTGGCTTTCCCTTCCGTGGGCCCCACCTTCCCCACCTACTATGCTCATGCGGACATTTTATGTTCAGTGAAGTCAGAGGAGGTTGTGCGAGGCCTTGGGAAGTTGATCCTCAAGCGGTCAGGAGGAAAGGAACTGGAAGGAAATGGCCAGAGACCCTGCCCTACCAGAGAGCAGCTGCTGATGAACGCCCTTCTTTATTTGCGCTCCCATGTGCTGTGCAAGGGAGAGATGGACCAGAAGACCCTGCAGCTCTTCAGACACGTGTGCCAGGTAAACCCTTCTCTGGTTGCCTACAGTGTATATTAGCTGTACCCAGTATAGATAGAGACCGTAGTTAGGGTGTCGAACTCTATTTTCCTTTTTCCCATTTGACTGTCAGGTTTTGGGACCTTTGTCCCTCAATTTAAGAGATTAAAAAAAAAGTGATGTTAGCCCTTTATTTGTGAGACACTGCAAATATTTCCCTAGTTAGTTGTCTATTGACTTTATGGTGGTTTTGCCATGTAATTGTATCAAGTTTTATTAATATTAAGAAAATAACTTTTTTTTCCCCTTGCTAACAAGCTCAATTTGTTCTTGTGGACAAGTAAAATAATACAAGCAATTAATTAGATTCTGTCACTTAAAGCCATATACACTCTTAACATTGGTGTATCCCATTCTAGGCTTGCCTGTTTTGAATATGTATCTATAAATATACCTCTGTGACTTGCGAATTTTTTTTTTAAACAGTACCCTTTTAAAATAACAGCCTTAGCACAGTGACTCAATATTTAACACATAGTAGGTACTCTAGTGGAGAATAATTCTATGTCTCCACACAAAGCACTAATAAAGTATGTTTTGTTTTACAATTTGCTTTTTAAAACCTAACAGCATTCCAAGATGAGAATGTATACATTGTGCAAAAATGAGAAGTGATGTTAAAATATATAAAATAAAAGATGGAGCAGTTAAAAAAAAAAAAACCTAACAAGATGAGAATGCATACATTGTGCAAAAATGAGAAGTAATGTTAAAAATATATAAAAGATGGAGCAGTTAAAAAAAAAAAACCTAACAGCATTAGTGATTGTTTTCCCCATAATTAGATAGTCTTCACTTGCATCATAGTGTCTGCCCAGTTTTTTAAATTGTATGCTTATGCCATGACATTAAAGTTTCTATCATTGAACATTTATTAGTAATGTTTTTGCTATTTTGAGGAGGGAAAAACCATCAGTACCATAAGTAGTCTCATGACTAGATCTTTGGGCGCAAATCTAGAAAGGAGAATTGCTGGAACAAAGATTACTTAGGCTTTTAGTACAGATTATCTTCATCAATACTAGGTGTTTTCTTTAACTTTCAGTCTTTCCCAATTTAAAGACCTAACATCATAGAGAAGGTGTGAGGGATTTAATAGGTCTATAGTAAGAACAGTTTTAACTGATCAGTGTCCTTCAATCTCCCTGTAACTAGCCCATGTTTTCTTTTTTTGAACTCTTGTGTCAGCTCCTTGAAGCGCCAGCCAAGAGAAATTTGAATCACAGGCCCCACTTGACTGACCATGAGCCCCTCCTTAGCACAAAGCTTCATCAGTGTCTGACATGAATTTCCCCATAGCACTACTGTAGTAAGTCTTTACACCTGGGAAATTGTAATACTGCAAGAAGAGGGAATTTAGGAAACTTGGGTTGTTGCACATACACAGGTTGAAAATCAAACCATTTGCTCTCTATTACCCAGAACTTAGTTTCTTGGATATTGCAGTTTGTTTTTGAACCACATACTTTGTTTTCATGAGAAATTAAGAGATGATAATAAGCCTTGCCTTTGTTGTTTATAATTGGCTCGGCAAAGGCAAATAAGCTTCTTTCGAATGTGTGACTTTTCAGGAAATCATCAATGAGTGGGATGAACAGGAACGCATAGCCCAAGAAAGGGCTGAGCTGGAAAGCAGCCTGTATAGATACAGGAGCAGGAACTCCAAGACAGCCCTGAGCGAAGAGGAAGAGGAAGAACGAGAATTTAGAAAGCAGTTCCCGCTGCATGAAAAGGTTAGGTGGTGGTGGCACGCCTTGTTTTACATGAGTTCCTTGATTCCACACATTCTCTTTGATTGGTGTTAGTCTTTTTAATATATCTTAATCATTCACACTCCATCTTTCCCCCTTTCTTTTAGTTTAATTAGAGTTAGATTTTTAAAGGTCCAATTGCTTTACTTTTTTTTTTTTAAAAACAGGACTTTGCAGATATTTTGATAGAACCAACACTGGAGGAGAAAAAGGCAACTTCAGATGGGCAGAAGAAGAAGCAACCACAGACCCTACCCTCTTCTCCCAGAGTTCAATGCAGGCAGTGATGCTTATTCACCAGCAATTGTGCCTCAGCTTTGCTCGGTCCCTCTGGTACCAACAGACTCTGCCACCACATGAAGCAAAGCATTACCTCAGCTTGTTTTTGTCCTGCTATCAGACTGGAGCATCTCTTGTAACACATTTCTACCCCCTGATGGGTATGACAGTTTACTTCTGTTGTAGTCTTGGAAAATCACATGAATGTTACTGCTACTTCTGAAACTGTTAAAACCATTACCTCCCTGTTTTGACTAATTCCTTGTTGATAGCATGCCTTTGCATGAAGAACAAGCTAACTCCAAAAAGTTGCCTTAAAATTCAGCAGTGAAGATGTTTTCCTTTGTTTGAATACTTAGAGGTGAAAGAATTAAGAAAATAAGGATGTGGACTTAATTGAAGTGGTCTTATTTAAGTGGCCATTATTTCTAATTTCTCTCTAAAAGCGTCAGTACTTTTCAAATGAAATCATGTATTCTTGGGAGTAATCTGAAATTAATCTCAAAGAATATGATATGATGCAAATAAAATAGAGCCTTCATATTTCATTTCTCTCTATCAAGAATAGCTAAGGGCCTCCCTGGTTAAGTCTCAGCACTATCACTGCTACGGCCTGAGTTCAATCTCCGGCCAGGGAGCTAACCCATATGTGTTGCAGCAGACCTCTTCTATTTTGCCCATTGCTCCCATTAGCAGTGTATTTCAGTAGATCCACCTGTTATGCTCCCCACTCTTTCTCTGGTGAATCCTCTCACCACCCCTGCACCTCTGACCTACATCCCAGTTCTGTGCAAAAATAAAATTTAAAAGAACAGCTATAAAAACTGGGAATTTTAGTTCATCAAATCAAATGGCAGCCTCTTGATTACACCTAGGAGTATCCTCTGCATATCCAAGAGACTTAACACATTTTGGTGACTAGTGTGATAGTAAGGTCACACAGTCCTCTAGCCCAATGGTGCTTTAGAGGTAAATTTTATTTAAATATCTGCTTCCTCAATCCTAGTAGTTCATTATTTCTGAGAGTATGTTTCTGACATCTTTGTAACTTGATAGATTTACTTACAAGTTCACTGACTTTACTATGATCTTGTTTACTTCACAGGAGTTGAGCTGAATGGCCAACTTTTAGGCAGCCAACTTTTGGCCTGTACTCTTCCCATAACACTCTCTTTGGGGAGGCGACCTCAGACCTGATAGTGAAGCCTGATGGGCCCTATGACTTCTACCAGCACCCCAATGTCCCAGAAGCACAGTACTGTCAACCTGTGCTTCATGATTTCGCAGAGACTATCAATCAGCTATTGCAGGACTGGCCAGAACATCCGGCACTGGTGCAGGTATGGCAGCCCAGAGGAGCAGCACTGAAGGTGTGGCCTCCCATTATCCTGAGGGTTTTTCACTTGCACATTTGAACATACAAAACAAAGGCTTACAGAATCTCAGTTCAGTGAGAGACTACCACTTACTGCAGGATGAGCATATCAGTTTATATTGCTATTGTATAAATGATGTTTAGGGATTCCATTAATTTTATTTGTTGTCCAGGGCTTACTGTCCACATAATAAAATGTTGCTGTATTCCTCTGACTTTTCAGAACAGAAAGGCCTGGCTTTTTCAAGAATAGCAGTTTTAATTTTCATCTTGCTCTGTGGTCTTCAGTCATTTTTAATAACTTATAATGGTATAACTGAGTAATAAGAGTAGTTTTCTTAACATAATCAGCCATATTTCTAGAATAACAGAACAGATAAACCATTTCCCTTGGTCACCATTCAGTCTTGGAATTGTCATCCTTTGGGGGTGTCACCTTTCAGAGGTGTTTGCAAAAAGCAGGGCCTTTGGTGAGGTGTCTCTTCAGTAGCCCAAATCTTTTTTCCTGCAGCTACTGGTTGTAATGGACAGAATACGTAGTTTCCCGCTCTCTAGTCCCATCTCAAAGTTCCTGAATGGCTTAGAGATCCTTCTCACAAAAGCACAGGTAAGATGACTGACTCTTACTCATTTTAATTTGTTATCAGTTGAGAAAACATTATCTTGTGTCACCTTTATTTTAGAGGGACAAAAAGTTAGAGTTTGGGTTGGATATGGATAAGGATAAACCTTTCTAGTTTTTTTTGTTGTTAATGTTTTTGGCATGGGTCCAGATTATTGTGGTGGAGCCTTGCTTCTATGGGGCATGTGAAGGACTTGCCTCAGCTTCTCTCAAAGGTGGATGGCCACCATACCAAGGGTGGACTTTCTGCCAGGACTTCCAGGCCAACTTTTAAACAGATTGAATGATGTCACATATCACCCCCCTCAGTCTTCTCAGAGCCTCTGAAGTGGCTGTCTCCCTGTTTATCAGATTAGGGCTATGACCTTGGGTGAGGTAACATGACTAACAGCAGAAATTTAGACTTGTGCCTCCAACCCTGTGCTTTCTGCCTGCCTCTAAACTTGGCTCTGCTGGAATTCTGTCAAGTGACCAGAAAGAATTTGAAACTGGCTAATCTGGATGTAAACGCATTGTTATTGGTAGATCGTTGTGTAAGTTGTCTTAAGGATCCAATGGTCTCTACTCAAGAAAAGTCTAAGATGTTCCTGAGGGAGGTTGTGATTAGGGATTGGGTATTGGCCATACTGATTTATCTATGTTTGTTTAGGATTGGGAGGAGAATGCAAGTAGAACTCTGTCTCTTCGGAAACATCTCGATTTAGTCACTCAGATAATCATTCGATGGCGGAAACTGGAATTAAAGTAAGTGATGTATTTGTCATTTCCCTGGCCCATCCTGAATGCATGTTGTTCAAAGAGACTTTCATCTTTTGAAAGTATGTTTCTTCAAATTTATGTAGTATGACAGTAAGATAATATCCTTTTCTCTCATATTCTTATGTTCTCTCATACAGTAGTCACAGAAATAAATCAGGCTATTTGAATTACCATAAACAGAGACCAGGCAGGCAGCACTGTACATCCTGAGGCAGCAAATTTGGGGTGGCCTCTCCACATCTATTTGGGAAGAGAGAAAGTGCACATTTAACTTCTTTTCTGTGGTTCCAGATTTTTCAAACGAATTCCCTTAAATGCCTCTTTGGCCTCTTCTCTCATGTTTCAGCTGCTGGTCTATGAGTTTAGA